GTGATTCTTTGCAAGGTTTGAATGAATGTGATTGACAGCAACGAGCATCTCACGACCGAGCAGGCGACGGCGGGACAGCGACGTTACCCGAGATGAGACTCTCCATCTCCCAGGGACTAAGCGTGCTCCGCCTCCTCGAGGCGACTTTGCTCACGCGCCTGTCGCGCTTGCGCTTCGTCGGCTGGAGCGGCGACTGCTGGACCTGCTCGTCTTGCGAGATGTCGCGCTTGACGGGGTCGAGGTCTCCTCGGTCTGCGCGTGTCTTGGCCGGGGAGTCTACGGGTGGCTGAGGCTCTTGTGGCATGGCGACGATGGTTTCTGGCGGAGGGGGAGGCATATGCTGCTGCTGTTGGGGTGCGGCCATCGGCTTACCGAGTGCACCTCCGCGCGCTGCCTTGAGCTTCGCGCGGACGCGGGCGGCGTCGGCCTCCCGCTCCGAGGCTGCCAATTTCGCCGCGATGGTTGCCATTGTCAGAGGACTCTGCTGTGGTGGCGGGTCTGAGGGCCGCGGGAGCGGCAGACGAGAAGGGACGCGGCGGAGAGGGGTGCGGTGAGGTGTTGCGTTCTTGTTATTGCTGTTGCTGTTGGGCTGGACGGCCGGGGCGGGGGGTGCGCCCTCGCAGCTTTCCTGGCTCGACTGGCTTTCTTGGCTCTCCTGCGAGACCGTACGGATATTCTTGACAGGAGATTGGGTTTCTCTTGATGCCGGGACCGCTGGTGAAGGTGCAGCGGGGGCTGCTGAGACGAGACGCGGCGGCTTAGGGAGTTTCCGTGCCGTTGGCGTTTGGTTTACTTCCGGGGGCGGGGTTCCGGATGGTGTGATGAGGGGTGCGCCGTTGTGTGTCGATTCGGAGGCGATCGAGGCAGCAGATGTTGTGCGAGAGCGGTCGTCGACCGGGTGCGCTGGCTTCTGCGGTGATCGCGGGAGTTGAACGAGGTGTGGCGGTGGCTTCGGGGCGACGTCGACAGCGCGGATCGTCCTGGGCTTCTCGTTGGCCATCGTGCCGTAGTCTCCGCGAACATCGCGCCTTGGTCTGGCGTCGCGGTTGCCCGCAGAAGGCATCTCGCGGAGCGGGCTCATCTGGGGAGGTGGGGGAAGAGGAGGGGAGCTGAGATAGGCGGTGGATTGCTGAAGAATCTGGACATTGGGCTCCTCAATATCGAATTCCTCAACGTCCACGTCCTCAAAGATGCTCGACTCAGAGTCGCTCGGCTGGTCGTCCTGGTCGTACTCTTGTTCGCGCTGAGCTGAATTGTATTCTGCCGGTGCAGGAACAAGATGGAGTGACTCGACCCTTTGCGGAGCAGGGCAAGGAGACTCAGGCAAATCGTCGTAGTCAATCTCCTCTTCCTCATCCTCTTCTTCTTCCTCTCCCTCCTCTTCCAAGTCGGCGGTGCATTCCTCTTGCACACAAGACAGCTCATGCATGTCCATGCCGCCCTGGTGGGTCTCCTCAACATTGCGAACGCGCACAGGACTAAGACGGAGGCCCATCTTGAGCTCTTCCATGTTGACCGACTTGCCATCGGCCACCATGCGTCGACGCCAGCCGTCGATGAGATGGACGGCTTCCTGCCAGCGGTTCTCCATCTTCACCCAGCCTGCACGCAGACGAGCAATCTCCTCTTCACGGACCTCGACCTCCTCAATAGGGGCGAACGAGGGGTTCGTCAAGATGGAGCGCAGGTGCTCGAGGATGGCGTCAAGCTCATGTGCCATGTCCTCAGCCGTGGGCAGCGTGACAGCATGGCCATCGCCCTGACTTGTTCTAGTATCACAGCCGCTCATCTCTCGCAGGCTCTTGGTCGTTCGACGGACCAGGTTCAGCAGGGACTCGTTCTCTTCACTGAGGTTGCGCGCAAGGTCCGTCAGGAACTCGTTGGTCTCGGTGCGCAGATCGTAGCTGGAGTCCTCTGTGGCCGCGGCGGTCTTGCCTCCGCGCTTGGGCGATATTTTGTTCTCGCCCTCGCCGGCAACGACACTGATAACGGTGACGGCGGAGCTCTTCGCGGTACCACGGGGACGGCCAGCCTCGCCGAGTTGCTTCTTCAGGCCGTCTATCTGGCGGTCGCGGCGTCGGACCTCCGTTGCGCAAGAGGCCCTCGTCTGGGCGACCAGAGTCTTGGCGCGAGCCACCTCGTCCTTGAGGCCGCGTACAGCGGCGTCGGCAGACTTGAGCTGAGTGCGCAGCGTGTTTTCGGTGGCCTCGCTGATGTCGAGCTTTCTTTGAGCCTCGATGTGCTTCTCCGAGAGGCGTGCGATGTCGTTTGTGTACCGTAGGTTCTCGGCGCGAACGGTGCGCATAGTGGTCGATAGGTTCTCGCGTTGTTCGGCATCGCGCTTGAGGGGGGGGAACATAACATCTCAGTACGGGGTATTCTTCCTCTTCCTCTCTCCAAGTTCTATACATCAGGGGAATAAGGGCAAACGCACGTCTCGGCGCAAGATCAAATCATTGACAATGCTCATGATCTTGCCCATGGTGGCCTCCGCGCCGCCCGGATAGTCGTCCGGGTCGGCAAAGTTGATTGTTTGGCCATCGCGTAGGAGCCCTCGCGAGAGCAATTGGTTGTTTATATACAGCGATGCCGTACGCAAGTTGTCGTTTTCCGCCATCGTGGTGGACGTGTTGTCGCGGCGAGACGATCGCACTACGAGCAGTGCTTGTTGAAGAGTATCTCTCTTGGTCAGCACATGCGGAGGAATGTGGTTCTTGAGCGGCTCAAAAAGCTTGTGACTGAAGATCAAAAGACGAGCAGAAAGTGTGTCATCAAAAGGAAATGAGCTATGGCGTTGGTGTGTATTCGTAGTGCCCGGTTCGGAGCTTATGCAGGAGAGCGACGGATCAGTACCCTTTTCTGCGTGGTCTGCAAGGGCGAGTTTTTGCTGGATATGGAACTTGCTGTGTGCTGTGCTGTGTCTGCTCGCTCTTCTTTGCTGTGTTAGTATTTTGCGAGGTGGGGGTGACATGGCAACCACCTCGCAAAGTAAACAAAAAATTGGCCAACTCACAACGTCACATGGGCCCGTGGCCTAAAAGTGGCCGCTCCTGGCCCGACCCTGCGGGGCTAGCCGACACTTGCCTAGCGCCATTCTTATAATTCATGCGATATCTGCCCGAGTCACATCTCACGGCTGTCCATCACACTCAAAAGTTTCATTATATTGCTTCTTCCCCAGCTTGCAGCCTGGGAAACAACTTTGTTTTCTCCCGCCTTATCGACATGGCTTACGATCCCACGGCACTTGGGCAGTCGGCAGAGCCCCTCGTGCACGATGTCTCCGGCGAGATATGGCATCCCTTGTTCCAGCAGGAGTGCGCCTTTGGGCCCGAAATATTTGAGGATGTCATGATGAATCTCATCAAGAACCCAAACATCAACTCGTCATGGCTCTTCCGCGCTGATATCCTACACGACTCGGACCCGGCATGGACACCTCCTTCTGCCCCCGCACCTGACGTTGCTTTGGAAGATGGCGCCGCCGCACAAGTTGTGCAGCAGCAGCATCAGCAGCAGCCTCTTCCCATTGTTTTTCAGGATTTCCACAACGACCGCGTCTTCGTGCGCAGGCTGATCCCACGCAACACCCGCCGGGACGACCCCCTGGATCAGACGTGCGTCTTCGCCTCCTCCTGTACCCCGGATGCCACAAAGGCTAGGTCCCTGGTCGTCTACCTCCCCCACGCGTCCTCGCCCGACGCCCTCCCCTTCTACCACCCCAAGGTCCGGGGCGTAGCGCATCTTCACGAGTGGGACGCTGCGCGCGCCGTCGGTACCGTCTCCATCCACTACCTCTTCTTTAACGAGGCCGACTTCGCCGTCGAGAAGCTGGTCCGGACCGCCCGCATGCTGCTCTCCGTGCTGTACAAGCACGGCCAGGGGCGGATTGACGGGTACACCAAGCGGGTGCACCACGACGTTGTGATTCCCCAGGCCAGGTTCCAGGACCGTTACATGGAGCTCAAGCTCAAGTATGCCAAGGACCTGGTGGAAACCTGGGCCGAGACGACAGATCCAACAAAGCACGTCTTTGAGGACTTGGGCATTGCTGCTTTCCTTATTGAGCTCTGGAAGGAGATGTATAAGGACCAGCCATTCCCTGGATTCGTAGATATTGGCTGCGGCAACGGATTGCTGGTTCATTTATTGATCCAAGAGGGCTACTCTGGCTGGGGCTTCGATGCCAGAGCCAGGAAGTCATGGGCCAAATACAATTCTGTCCAAGATGGACGGGATTCGCTCCAGGCTCTGGTTCTTCTCCCCGACATTGTTTCGAGGCCGTCTTACGCCGATAGCGATGAGGAGCCCGCCTTGGATCTGTCAAAGATACACAACGGCACTTTCCCCAAAGGCACCTTCATCGTTTCCAATCACGCAGATGAGCTGACACCTTGGACGCCGATCCTCGCTACGTTGTCGGAAAGCCCCTTTATCATGATTCCCTGCTGCAGCCATTCTCTGGGCGGCCAAAAATACCGTCCGCCGCCACCGCGTGATAAGACCAAGTCGATATCCACGTATGCTTCCTTGGTCGACTGGGCGGCACAGATCGCCGAGGACTGCGGATGGGCCGTGGAGACAGAGATGTTACGTATCCCGAGCACGCGAAACACGGCCATGCTTGGGAGAAAGCGGACGCGGGACGTGGAGGAAGTAGACATTGACGGGGTCTTGGCCAAGTACGGCGGCACGGATGGGTACTTTGAGAGTGCGGCCAAATTGACCAAGACTGAAAAGGGGCACTAGGCAGAGCATTGTCCTCTTTTGGCTCATCAGTATGAGACAGACATTGGGTTCTATCCCTGTTACAAATCACATCAAGATAGGGGGAGTCCAAAAGTTTAACATCTTAAATCGAACACAGGTCTTTACTGGCACTGCTCTTCGACGCGGCTCGTTGCAGAATCAATATCTAGAGAATCTAGATTTATGCTACACCTCGGACGAATGCAGGCATTACACGGAGTGTTGTTAACTTCCCTGTTGATGAATCTTTTTGCAGTCTCTATGGGGCACCGAACTTGATGATGTTGGTGATACAATCACACATTGCCCGAGACTCCCAACTTGGCCTTTTGTTCCGTTCAAATCGACCCAACCAACTCTTGAATCCGCTTCCTCGCAGCCTCCCTCACCTCAGTGACGACCACTCCAGCCGGCTTAATCTCATCAATAAGCCCAAGCCCAGCACCAGCCCACTTCCCAATCATCTTCTTCCCTTCCTCCTCGCTCCACCCCGTCCGCAACCTCTCCCGGCTCTCCTCCACCGTCGCCGTCTGGCCGCCGAGGGCGTGATACTCCCGATGAATATCCCCCACAATCGCCCTGCCATCATACCCTTCCTTCCACAACTTATTATCCACCAACCGATCATGGAACTCCGACTTCCACGTACTCACCCCGCCGTCCTTGGTCCTCACAATAACCTCCTTGTGCAACTGCGCGCTCATCGCCTCGTCCGTCGCAACGAACCGCGTGCCCAACACAACCCCCTCAGCGCCCAACGCCAGCGCCGCAGCCACCCCGCTGCCCTCCACGATCCCGCCCGCCGCGACGACGGCGACGTCCCGGTCGGGGAACTCGGCCGCCAGCATGGCCTTCACCTCGGGCACCAGCGCCACCACGCCGCAGCCCCGCGAAAACTGGTGCCCGCCGGCGTCGACGCCCTGAGCGACAATGACGTCCGCGCCGTCGGCGGCCGCCTCCCGCGCCGCGGCGACGTTGCCCACCTGCACGAAAACTTTCGTTCCCTTGCCGCGGAGGGCGGCGATGATTTCGCCGTGGGGTTTGGTCTCTGGGTGCGGGGCAAAGAGCCAGGCTGCCGCGACGCCGTGGCGGACGAGGATGGGCAGGACGTTGGCCGTGAAGTGGCCGGCTGTCTCGTGGGACGTGATGAAGCCCACGCCGAGCGGGAGTCCTCCTGCGCCGCTACCGCTGCCGCTGCTGTTGCCGTCCGCGGCCGGGAGCGAGAGGAGGGTGCGGGCTTGGGTCAGGGCCTTGTCTAGGTCCGTCATCTGGGCCGAGGACTCTGAGAAGTCGAAGCCCGCGGCGATGAAACCTGGAAAGAGGAAGATTTGTCAGTCTGAAGTTTTTTTCCATTTTTCATAAGAAGCCAAGAGAGACATTTTGGCTAGACTAAGGGAGGGTGAGTTCGCCCTTACCGAAACCACCGGCTTTGTGGACTTCAGTTGCCATGGCGGCGCCGGCGGACCCAAGCATCGGCGCGTTGATGATGACGGGCGCCTTGACGTGGGGGAACCACGATACCAGTCTCGAGATGGCCATGTTTGGTGTTTTGTTTCTTTGATATTTGCTTTTTTCGCTCCCTTTTTCGTACTCTTTTTTTGGTTGTTCTAAGTGAGGGGTGTTGTTGACTTTTTCCCCGGGACTTTGTGAGACAGCACTATTGGAGAACCTTTTGACTGTGACGATCGGGCGGGGTCAGCTTGGTGTCTTATACACAGAACCTCGGAAGTAAAAAACAAGACGTTCTGACTTCTGAGTGAGATCTTGGTGCATATGTGAGACACGAAGAAAGGTACTGGCCTACTTACTACGGCTGACATAGATTGCCGGATCCTCGGAGAGATTTGTCGTCATCCCTCCTTCTCAGCGGCTCTCCTCGGTTCTCCAATTGTGGGAACCGTGCAAACATCTCCGCGGAGGAAAGCGGGGCCGGACGGCCGTGTGTTACCCGGGCTGCTTGTCATATGCTCGGCCCGTTGCTTGGCATGTGCGCCGGAGGACACAGGTTTTGTAGATGAGGTAGGGTGTTGTCCACCGTTTGTCTGGAAAGGAAGAGGCTTGGCCTTTAGTAGTACCGCGTAACGCATCTTGCCAAGTACGTAGTAGAAGCAGCTCTAAGAATACAGGAGGTTACGCGCGAATTTATAACATGAAGATAGTCTTAGCGTGGTGATAGACCCAAAGGATCTTGGCTAATTTTCATGAATCCTTTTCGAGTGCATCGACACCGGCTCAAACGTGTAGGAGATTTTCTGCAAAAAACTTCTGGTTTGGAATTCAGCCTCGATCTCCATGGGCGTAAAAGGTTGTGTCAACAACTTGCTAAACAAATTTCCTCGACGATGATGTGCTCGGACAATGGCCTCAGTCTATAACGCCATCAATACAAACCACATCAATGAGATCAATCAGGACGATGTGAACGGAATCCAAGGAATACGATGGTTGTGCTGATGTCAATGGCATCGACATGAAGGGCACCCAGAAGCGCAAGTTGGTTAACGATGCGGAGCAGTCCGACATCGAGAAGCCTGAAATAGAAGATGGTAATACCGTCCCTCGTGAGATTTCTCCGTCCCGCTCGATAACCACGCTGTACGTCTTGAACGAAGACATGAGAGCATTCGTAGAGTGAGCAGGAAGTTCGTGCTGTGCCGAGTCCTGCCTGTGCGACTTTTTTGATCCGGTCATCTCGCACTTAGTGTCAACTTCAAACTTGGAGAACAGGCTATACAAAGCATCAAATCACTCGAAAATGCTGATTAAATACTGATTCGAAAAGTCTTGCCATCATTCTTCAAGGGGACCTCGATCATGAGCAACGATGCAAATCGAGAGCAGTAAATCAAAGAAAAGAAAGGCTCCAAGGCGCAAAAGAGGAGGGGAAAAGTGATAAGAGGAAGGTTCTAACTGGCAAAATGGCAGAATATGGTACTACAACGCGACGCAGGGCGCGGTAGGTTTAGATGAGTTCAGTTTGCGATCTCTGGACGAAGACGTCGCACGCTAGACCACTCGGCCAGAGTGCAGTGGCTCGCCCACCCAGACAGACAGCTCAACTTTGCTCGGCTATAGAGCATGTGTGAAGTGGTCGTACACCTCTTTGAGCACCCTGGTGGCTTCCTCGTGTTTGCCGTGCGCTCTTTCGTAGTGATCACATATGAAGTGTAATATCTGTGCATTATTCGATTGGTATTTCGTATATGTACGTACTTACCCCGAAGTTCTCATTCCATGTTCTCGTACATCATATTCGACCGCTCTAGAATCTCGGGATAATGGCGTCAGGCTTGTTCTCCAGCGCCTCATCAATCTCCTTCATAATCTCATCCGTCAACTTCTCTTGCGCACCGATAGCCCGGATGTTCTCAAACACCTGCTCGGGACTACTCGCGCCAATGATGGCGGAGCTGACGTTCTTGTTCTTCAGGACCCAGGCAAGCGCCAGGGTGGCCATCTTGATTCCCAGCTTCTCGGCAATGGGCTCGATCTTGTTGGCCTTGTCAACGAGGTCCTGGAATTGCTTCTTGGCGTTCTCTCTCTTCCAGAAGTCCTTGATGAATCCAATGTTCTCGGAGCCGAAGCGGGAGTCCTCGGGGATGCCATTCTTGTACTTTCCGGAAAGGATACCCTGGCGCAGAGGGGAGAAGACGGTCAGACCGGTGCCGACTTCGCGGTAGAGGTGGAAGAACTCGTGCTCGACCTTCTTGCGGTCAAGCATGCTGTACGAGGGCTGCTCCATGATGGGACCGACAAGGTTCAGCTTGTCGGCGTAGCGCCAGGCCTGAGCGATCTCATCGGCGCTCCATTCGGATGTTCCCCAGTAAAGAGCCTTGCCGGTGTTGATCAGGTGGTTGAAGGCGCGGACGGTCTCCTCCATGGGTGTTTGGCGATCGGGACTAAGTAAAGTCAGTGGTATTCGCAAACGTATCGAGAGGGAAACTCACCGGTGAGCGTAGACGAGGTCAACATATTTGAGATCGAGGCGCTCAAGGCAAGCGTCCATGGCCTCGATGACGTGCTTGCGGGACAGACCCTTGTTGTTGACAACGTTGTCGCCAAAGGCACCTCCCCAGTAAATCTGTTGCGCATTTAGATGTCAGTCTCGGATTCCATTGTTGCCAGGCCTTTGCGGGGTTGCGCACCTTGGTAGAGATGACGAGGTCATTGCGCTTCCAGCCGTACTTCTTGATGGCTTGACCCATGACTATGACAAAATCAGTTCTCCTTCTTTCGGCGAGGGCGATATCGATTGCTCGTACCAATCTCGCTCTCGCCGTTGGCGTAACCCTCAGCAGTATCGAAGAAGTTGACGCCAGAGTCGTAGGCAGCCTTCATGCACTTGAAAGTGCCCTCTACGTAGTTTGTCAGTCTCGTTCGACTTCTGTGACTCGAGGTCTGTTCGTACCGGAGTCGACGTGGCCGCCGTAGGTCAACCCTCATAGAGAGTCAGTGTCTGTCACAGTCTTCCGCAACACAATCAGGGTCACTCACAGCCTCCCAAGCTGATGGCACTAACCTGAAGACCAGAACGGCCCAGGAAGCGGTACTCCATAGGGGGAAGATCTTCGGGTTTGGACATTTTGTCGGTGATTCGAGAGTCGTCGGAGAAAAAGGTGGTGGAAGATCGCGAAGCAAAGTGGAGGCGAGTACAAGCCGGCAAGTCATGCGAAGAGCGGCAAGCACCTTACTTATAGTCCCCCTCGTTCGACCAGCTCGTGTTCAAAAAAGAAGGTCCATTGGAGCTCCATGCTCATGGCCCATGTCAAAAGGCCACCGTGGGGCCCAGCCTATTCCTCTCATGGTTACGGATACTGCAGCAGCCGTTGAATCGCCCATCTCCAATGGTCAAGCTCATGGAAGCGGGGCAGCCGGTATCAACCCCGCCATCCAAGTCCATGACCCGCGAGTTGTGTCACCGGCGAGCCATGTAGCCAATGGTCCCATTCCACGCTCAGATGTTGGCGGGGGTACCGGTCCGGTACAGACACTGCTGTCGTGGTTTCACGCTGCCTGATCCTGGAGCTATGACGGGCGGGATTGAGCTATCCCGAGCTTGTTGCTTCGATAAGCAGAATGAGACGCTTGTGAGCCTGTGTCATGATTTTTTTTTTTTTCGCTCAGTCTCAAAGGGACCAATTGGGACCACGTGGGACAGGAAAATACTAGAGAAAACCCCCCCAAAAAAACCAAGAAAAGACATCGAGGTATAGAGTGCGGTAAGATGGACGAGAAATCTTAACGTCACCCGTGTCGAGGAACTGGAAGCGAAGCTGCGGGTGCTGTGCGCTAGATTACCCCTCCAGCTGCCCCTCCAACCCAACCTTACACCATTGCCCCTGCTGTAATGCGGGCCCTTCAGGGATGTTTCATATTCTCGCTGCTCCGATTGCCCCGAATTTGCGAGGACCTGACCAGCTTACTAATTCCTCAACGACGCTCCTCCCATCAAGGTGTCATGAAGCTATCTTTCGTTGCACTCGGCCTCTGGGGGTAAGACTTAAGGTAGACCAGAACACTACTGCCGTTTTAAATCCATATAGTGGCATCAAGTGATGCCTCGCGCATCTTCGATCGGTGGTCTCGGTCCAACCAACACGCTAGACCTCGGGTCGCATCCTAGACCGAAACATTTACGAGGTAGCGCCAATCTTCAACATGACTCCCCGCAGTCTCTAATTATGATGGTGAACATTCATAGCAAAGTCCAACAACCTGATAATTCAATATTTTCTCCAGTAAAGGTTCCAATGGTGATTCCTTCCGTGCTTATGGTAACCCGTGCTAGGCTACGATCAGCTAGTCGCAAACCAGGCCGCTATCTTTTCACAACGAGACAGGTTGACGATCACTCTAGGCTGTAGCAGGTTCAAGTCTCTCGTAGAATAATACAGGCCATCTCGCAAAACTCTGGTCTTCGCATCACATAAGAGAGAGCTTGACTCAGCTACCACAAGGCAGCGTACTGAGGTAAGGCAGTGACAACAGTACGAGTGATCAATATTTAGACGGTGATTAGCACATGGTTCGTGCAATTGGTTCAATCCAACTGTAAAGCAAATGATTATCGGGTACGCTATTTACGTCTTGCTTGAATTAGACTAATGATCGAACCCAAGACCTACTTCAAGATAATGTTTTCAGGCTTTATATTAATACGTACATTGATCTGAGCATTTCGGGCCATAGTATCTTCCCATTGAGGGCAACGGTCCCAAAACCATAGCTCTCAAGCCTGATAGAAAGCGATCGAAGTCTTGAAAAGATTTTGACATTGAAAATGGTGCCTGGACTTCTCGCAAAGAGCGCCTCACTTGCTATTCAAGGATGGCTTTACAACATGGTCGAAAGAATCCTTTCGACTGAAGTGTACCTCAAAGTTTCCCAGCTCCTTTCAAATAAGTAGTTGTGCTGCAAGTCAGGTGATGCCTCATGCTCAGGCTAGAATAGTGGCTAGTCTATTGTGTAGGTGCCCTCAAGTGAGTTCAACTCAGCTACGGGCATTCACGACTCCAAGAAACCCGCCTCGTGAGAGCATAGGAGTGGTGGTCTCGACGACATAAGCGGAGATCGGGGCTTCCTGTCCATGAGCTAAACCTGAATCCCTCTCCACAAACCTGTCCCTTTTCTCTTCTTCTTTTCCTCTTTTCATCGTCTCACCACCAGAGTTGGCTTCACTCAACTACGATCAGCTTTCAACACAACCACTTCGTTGACGCTTTCCAGTACGCATCAAGACCAAGATCAATAACTGAGATAAATACCGTAAGTCAAGTTCCATCTCTTTTCTTTGTTGGAATCATCTTGCCTTTTCTCTGTCCGAGCAAATATTCGCGATTTGCATCGACGCCGACTTCCTCGCAAGTTTTGGCTATCTGAGCAGCTTCAGACAGCGAGGCTTTACATCGGTCAATTCTCGCGGTTTTGACTACGGCAATTCTGAGAATCAATTTTCCAGAAAAGGCAGTATGGGTCTTGCGCTCCTTCTGCTTGTTGCCTAGTCCTCGCTCAACTGTACCTTCCTTCTCCTTCCATACTGTCACGTTTTCTCTGGAGGGTCTTTCCACTCACGTCAACTCTTCCTTTTTTCTTCTGAAAATTCAGATTTTTGCTTCACATTCCTCTACAATCCTACCTGTTCTCTTCTTCTCCTACCCCCCTGTACTTCGTCTAGAAGTGTCTCTTTTTATTGACTTGTTGGACCAGTCCAGGCTCTGTCAATCAATTCTCTTCAAAATTCAGCAACCCAAAAACTCTTACTCGAGCGATTACAACAAGATGTCTGATCCTTGGGGCACCACTGACGATGCTTGGGGCACTGGCAACACCTCTGCTGGCAATGGCATCCCCAACGATGACCCCTGGAGCAACCCCAAGGGCGGTGATGGCGGTGACGGCGGCGATGGAGGCGACCGTGCCTGCTTCAACTGCGGCCAGACTGGGTGAGTGATTACTTCATATTTGACCGACACCGAAGTTCCGCACGCTGACACACATGATGATATAGTCACAGCAAGGCTGATTGCACTGAGCCTCGCAAGGCTTTCGATGGCACCTGCAACGCCTGCGGTGAGCAGGGCCATACTCGCCGCGATTGTCCCTCCGCTCCTGCCATGACCTGCCGCACCTGCGGCGAGGAGGGTCACATGCGCAAGGAGTGCCCCAACAAGGGTCCTGATCTTTGCCGCAACTGTTGTGAGGAGGGTATGTTGTTCACTATCTTGCGATATGGAGACTTGGGGCTAATACGTACTTTATCAGGCCACGCGACCGTTGATTGCAAGAGCCGTCGCAAGATCGACTTCACGAAGGTTGCGGATGTCGATGCTGACAAGGCCTGGGAGGAGATCCACGAGGCTATCCAGGAGCGCGACGGCGTTGAAGCCAAGGAGTCCATCCAGAAGTACCTCAAGCACTACCCTGAGATGGGATATGTCGAGCTGGAGAATGCTTTCCGCGCCCAGGAGATGAACATCTACCTCATCGCCACCGAGCGTGTCTTGGCTCCCACCCATACCAATATGGATCTCCAGGGTAACTTGGACAAGAAGTACACTGTCCAGTACCGCTTCTCTGCGCAGCCTGACCGCCAGCGCGAGAAGGCTAACTGGCCTGCCTCCCCTGAGGAGAACCTGGCCCGCCTTGAAGATGCTGGAGAGCCCGTCTCCCGTCTCATGCAGAAGTGCAACAACTGCAACGAGCTTGGCCACAACTCCAAGGAGTGCCCTCAAGACCCCACGGAGAAGGTCCGCGTGACCATCGCCTGCTACAACTGCGGCGAAGAGGGTCATCGTGTTCGCGATTGTGAGTCCGCCTGTGTCACACGATGGTTTGCACCACTGACCAACTCATCTAGGCCCTACTCCTCGCATTGACAAGTTCGCTTGCAAGAACTGCGGGTAAGTAGCCAGGTCTACGGCCGTTCTTGATGCGCAATGATTGACATATTCTATAGCCAGTCTGGTCACAAGGTCTCCGATTGCACTGAGCCTCGCAAGGCTGGCGATGACGTGGAGTGCAACAAGTGCCACGAGAGTAAGAAGGGTTCCTTCATACAGCTTCCTTCAGAGACAATCGCTAATCATTTCCAGTGGGCCACTTCTCTCGCGACTGCCCTCAGGGTGGTGGCGGTGGTCGTGCTTGTCACAACTGTGGCCAGGAGGGCCACGTCTCCCGCGAGTGCCCTGAGCCTCGCAAGATCAAGTGCCGCAACTGCGATGAGGAGGGTCATCTCTCCAAGGATTGCGAGAAGCCCGTTGACAGTAAGTTACCCAGCTGGATTCGTTGAACTCAAGACGCTGACACATGCTCCTCAACAGTCACCCGCATCAAGTGCAACAACTGCGGCGAGATGGGTCACAAGAGTTTCAAGTGCCCCAACCCTCCCAAGGAGGACATCGATGACTTCGGCGCCTCCAACGCCGCCCCCGACAACACCGATACCGGTGATGCCTGGGGTACCGGCGGTGGCTCTACCGAGGACACTGGCGCTAGCGGTTGGTAGATGCGTCCTTGGAAACGCACCTACAGAGGGATTGGTATGGTGATTCTCTATTTAGCGTTGAGGTCACGGCATTTCGTCGCTGCCACGGCAGACGACAAGGTTTTCGATGGAACGAACGGTTGATGAATTTCGCTCTGCTTTCATGATTGATGATTGGTACAGTCTCTCGGTAGATGGAGATACATAAAACCAATGCAATGTTCATGAACACCACCGTATTGATCCTATGCGAACTGTGAATGTTTCCATGGGAAGACTGACTAGTCTGTTTAAGTTGGTTCAACCTTGGCATCATCACTCACCTGAGTGCATTCTACTATAGAATACTGTCACTCAACTTGCGATACAGGTTCACGCTCAAGGATTCTCCTTCAAGACCAAGACGCAATCACCGCAAATTGAGGAACAGATGATCAGAGGATGTTACAACGACTTTGTGATACTAGAAGACTAATCGATGAAGCAAGATAGTCATCGGCATTACTCGACATGAAAATGTACCCATGTCCAACAACTCTGTCCCTCTCTCTCTCTCCGTGTCTCTCTTTCTCTCCCCTCTTCTCTGTGCTGCGCTGCTCTGCTCTTGGTGTCTCTTCCGTCGTGTCTTCTTTCACCCGTGTGCGTGTTTAGCTCGCCAACCCCTCCTGTCCTCCCCAGAGTTCCATGCCCCGTCGGGGGGAAGGAGGAAGCCCTATGCGTGTCCGGATTTCTTCGTGTACGCCCGGAACGCCGCCCATATGACAAGTTGAAAAGAAAATAAAAAACCCTCCGTATGCGTCGCTGCCTCCCCTCTCTGATGTATCGCTTATGCTTGCCAGCAACGAATGTTTGCCCGCCCTTTTTCTTCAAGGGGACCGAACCCCTACTACCTGGTCACAGTGTACCATCCCAACCCGTTTTTCGTTCCCAAGAGAGAATGTTGACACATGCCCAAGCTTAGCCTGAGCAGCCCTGCTTCGGTGCCTCGAAGACCGAGCAGGGTCATTACGAATACGTACACAAAAGGGAATGTGAAAAGATCAAAAACAAAAATCAACGCCCTAACGCCAACTTTTGTATGTCGCTTCCAAACGAAGGGAAAAGGGGGAATCCTATGCGAACATGTGCTGTCAGGCATCTCAAAACCGAGTATCACTCTGCCTGCTGCTGAAAAGTCATTAAGCGTCAATTATGGCCCCTTCTCCGATAGGGGTTGTTCGGATGAGGGCGCAGTCGCGGCTCCATTCCCAACCGGATGGATCGCATCCCCTTTCTCGTTCATCTCCGGCGCAACTGCTGGCCCGCTGCCGTTAGCAGCTGCTGGCTTTGCCGTCGTGGGTTTCTCTGGTGTCGTTTTCCTTGACAAGCTCGCTGTTTCGGGCTCTTCCGGAATCGTCGCAAACTTCTTGAGGACCTGCTTCAGCGCAGGCCGTCTAATGGGCTTACTCAGGAACTCGTCCATGCCGCTCTCCATGCATTCTTTGACGTTGCTTTCTTCTGAGAAGGCGGTCAATGCCACGATAGGAGCTTTGTAACCCATCTTGCGGATGAGTTTTGTCGATTGCAGGCCATCGAGATTGGGCATCTGAATGTCCATAAAGATGACGTCGAATCCTTGATTTTTATCCATGTTCGCCTTAACTAGGTCATACGCTTCCTGGCCGTCCTTGGCGATGGTGACATCGTAGACGTCCTCAAGCTTCAACATTTTGCTGACAACCTCAATATTTGTCGAATTGTCGTCCGCAACGAGCACCCGTAGCTTTCCTTCCTTGTTGGCCTTCGTAGCCATTGCCCGATCGATGGCTGCCATTTGCTGCTGTTTTGTGTTCCGCTTGGCTTTAGGCGCTGGGTTCGACGCGAAGAAAGGCTGGCTGAGTCCGACTAGTCTCGGTTGTTGATCAAGTAGGTTCTTTGCAGTTGTTTCTCCGGCTGGCTTGATAGGTGGGCTGACGGGAGCCCCGCCGGAGTTGCGCTTCGCGTTTTGAACACTGTCGATGCCTTCGATGGCATCGACACTTGGAGGCCGAGACTTGATGCTGCTAGAAGCGGTGCTCGAGGCCCTGCAAAATCTCGTCAGTACATTAACCGCCTTGCTTCACATTCATCTAGACATACCTGTCCTTGACATATTTCAAGGGAATTTGCATAGTGAACGTCGTGCCAACCCCGACAGTGCTTTTCAGCGAAATAGATCCACCCATCAGACTTGCAAGTTGGTGGCAGATACTCAATCCCAGGCCTGTTCCGCCAAACTTCTTGCTCAACCCTAGGTCGCCTTGAACAAAGGGTTCAAAGACCTTCTGCTGCATGTGTTCAGCAATACCGGGGCCGGTGTCTTCCACTTCGAACTCGAATATAAAGGCCTTCGCACCAGGTGGTGGCGGCGTAGGAGATCGCTCCCGAACCTGAATGTGAGGTGTTGACTTGGGCTCCATCGGGTTAATGCTTAGAGCAGTGCCCTTGACGGGTTCAGAAGTCGAGCCTCCCCTAGAGCTCACAGATGGATTTGAGCTGTTGTTCGTTCGGTGTCGGCCTCTGCCCTGTCGTCTAGATTCCTTCGAGAACGATGACGACCGGCTGCCATCATTTGCCGGTGGGGTTTCCACCTCGCCGATACACTTGATGCGGACATCAACCCGTCCGCCTGCTGGCGTGAACTTGACACTGTTGCTCACTAGGTTGATAATGACCTGTAGAATGCGATGCTGGTCACCCCATAGACACATATCCTTCAATCTACCGGTTCCATGCGGTCCCAGAGCCGGTAGTCTGTTGTCGGTGCTGGTTCTTTCCGGGCTACTGCTCAGTTCGATCGCTTCAGAGCCGAGGAAGTTGACGGTCAAGGTGATTCGGCCTTCTTTGACTTGTTTGTCAAAGATGGTCAAGATTTGGGATCTAATGTCGGCAAGTCGGAATTCCTTCTCTTCCAGGTTCAGTTGTTGCCCAATCTGGTTCTTGGAAAAGCTTAGGAGATCCTCGAGTAAATGAAGTAGCAAGTCGCCTAAAAGTGGTTAGCAAGGTACAGAGTGACGAGCAAGCCAGATCGCATTTACCTGACTTGTAAAGTGTCTTGAGCGACTGCTTGATCCTGAGAATATCGCTCTCCTCCATACACACGGCACACATGCCAAGAATACCATTAAGGGGTGTCTTCAGTTCGTGTGAAATGTTTGCAATGAAGAGCGTCTTGCTTTCGTTGGCGGCTTCGGCGGCCTTCTTGCTGATTTCAAGCTCACGGGTCCGTTCCAAGACTTTTTGATCCAGGGAAAGGTACTGTTTGACCAGCTCGTCACTCATATCGTTAAAGGTCTCCGTCAGCTCGGTCAATTCGTCGGTGATGAAGTGTTTTCGGTCAGTGACCTTGCCAGGGATTTTGAAAATGCGTCGGGTCGAATCGCGATCGTGCTCTGAGGCGGGTTTCTCCTTGGGCTTGTACCCTACGAGCTTGAAGATACTGGTGATGATGCCATCCTTCTTGGAACGTTGTGTTCGTGATGAAATTCCACCCGATCCAGGAGTTTCGTCGCCATCGAATTCGGAATAATACCCATCCTCATATCCCGGTGGCTGGATCGATTTCTCCGTCGCCGACTTGAGTCTCCTGATGGGCATCACGCTAAGATGTGCGCAAGGGAAGATGAGGATTATGATGAGGCCTGCGGTGCCGAAAACACATCCCAGAATAATATTCCGCAATGTCTCAATGGGAGCGTCGGCCTCTGATTTGGCTTGTTCCACGACCACAGTCCAGTTAACGAGTGCGGTGTTGGTTCTTGCAAAACCCACAGCCACCGGAAGACCCTGTTCGTTATTCGTAGAAAGCATCGAACTTGAGTTGTTTGGTGCCGCGATCTGCTTGCTAAAGGAGGCGAGAACTGCCGGATAATCCTTCATTGGGAACGGGTCGTCGTCCTTGCCCGCTGACCAGCTTCTCTCATCGTGCCGGTCACCCTGCCCAGATAGTGGGTTGGGTGGAAGGACAAAGTTCACCGGCACGTTGTTGAGTGCGTCAGTAGGTGGTTTGTAGGTGCTGTTGCTGACCGCATTACTGGAATTGAACCTGTTCGACTTCTCAGTAGGCCCGACGAGCAGTACCAGTCCAGTATCCCCCAAACCCTCACGAGAATTGCGGATGCTGATGAGAGAACTCGCCGTGGCGACAAGCGTCATGTATCCTAGGATAAATTCCTGCTGTTGGTTGTAACGAATCGGCACGGTAATGGAGATGAGGGCAGTTGTCTCATTAAGAATCAAAGGGCCAAGTAGCAGACCACCGTTTGTGGAAATCCTAACTCCGTCGAACGCGTTGGCTGCATAAGCTCGAGTATTATTCCTGTACTGATTCTGACGGCCTAGATCTTCGTAGGTAATGTTCGGGTAGAGGGCTGGCGGGTACCCCTCGGCGGTATCGGAAAGGAAAATTTGGGAGCCATTGGCGCCGGGATATGGCAAAGCGATTTCAGGAACCTTTTCTCCAGTAACGTTGAGTAGACCATAGCCGTTGCCAGTGATGTTCCGTGAATAGATTCTCCCTTGTAATAGGCCCGTGAGACCGCCGACGCTGAGCGCACTGTTAAGATCGCCTTTGGCTTGAGCCCAATTTGCGTCTGTGGTGTTTCCATCGTAGAAGGTGAACAAGGAATTCTGAATCAGGATTCGGGAAGAAATGGTGATGATGCTTGTCTGAACGAGTTCGAGCTCGGCAGAAATGCGTGAGGCCTTGAGCGAAGCAGTAAGAGCGAGTTCGCGCCCTTCGACCTGGGTGACAAACTGATTGACATAGATCCAGACGGGGACGGAGAGGATCATCAAAGCAACGAGAACGGCAATCACCACAAGGAAGGCGAGCTGTTCTCGAATGGCGACCCTGACGCCCATTTTGAACAGACTATAACGAGGAGTCTGGCAGTGTCTGGGCGGCCTTCATCGTCTGCTATGGTGATTCTCGGTATCCTACTTTCGATGCGTCGCGGTGGTGTTGTCGTGGGACAGACTTGGCTGGCGGCAAGTCTTCCTCGAAGAGTTGCTTGGCACGCGGTCGCCCAGGAGGAAAAGTCGCGGCGGTTGACTGGGTATCCGCAATTTCCCCAAAGATGCGTTTCGTTTTGCTTTTCGTCGGCAGCAGCAGGGATTTGCGGTGACTTGCAAACGGTATTCGGGGGGGTTGATAGGCGAGACTGGCCGTGGGATTGAGGGGAGCCAAAATGCGCCGACAGTCGAAATGAGCGTGGAGGACGGAACAAGAATTGGATTGGAAGATTCGTCACAAGAGAGAATAGTTTGGCCGACAGACGAGGGATTGTCTTGGTGTCGGTTGAAGCGGAGGGTGACTGGGTGGAATGGAATGGGCTGAGAAGGGCGAGCAGAAAGAAGACCGGCCGCTGAGGGTGGAGCCGCGGGAGGAGCTGGGATGTCGACCTGCTAGGATTAGGTTCAGGGTAGGTACGAAGTACGTTGGAGTCGCAGTGGAGTGCCCTGTACGCAGTAGGTAGTGTGTTCAGAGACTGAGGTGCAGGTGCGGATTGGGGGAGTACTTGCGAGGTACGTACAGACGACCTCGCCTGGGTTTAGCGTAATAGAGCGGAGAGGAGAGATATCTACCTATTTGCTGCCAGCCGGGAAGCTCAGTTGAAGGTAGGTATTTTTCAGCAGGGTTGACACCAAAAAAGTACCTTTCCTTGACTGCGACCCAACGGGATATGTCCACGAAGAGGATGGACGAAAAGCGCTTCGCGAAATTACCAAGACACCACACAGCACCCAAAACGAAACGAGACATTTACAAGCCCGGCTGCGTGGATGCAAAGAGCAAGAAGCTCTGCGGATGGGCGGGAAAGTTGCAACGGGCCTGAGGACGGGATCTGTCTGTCATCTGTGTAACGACGCTGAGACTGATGATGAAGGACGAGGGAGGGCTGAAGGACAACTTTCATGGGGGAGACCACCTCACGGAGAGCCACTAACGAAAGCACCTCGAGGGAGCTATCGTGTCGTGCTACAGTACTTAGCTGGCTGTCAGTCCGAGGCCACCCAGTTGCCATGCTCGCGTCTCGTTGGAGACGAGACCGTCGCGCAGAGACAGCTGAAGGCGAGCCGCAAAAGCGCAGAAGCTACCCGTATTCTTGGTATCCTAGGTTAGCGCGGAACATCACACACGTGTGGAAGACGCTATCTCGGTAGTGTCTCTCAAGGGCGAAGCTTGTGGAATAACGGGCTTGCTAGGCCATCCAACTGCTGGCAACTCTGGTCGTTGGTGCGGGCGGTGGGAGAGAGTTTGATGGAGACATGGGCCGATTTTGCACTTCTCCTGAGTCTTGGTAGCGCTGGTGGTGAATACGTGGGTGGCAACGGGCAACACGGCACTATTTCTGCGCCACGGGTGCTATTTGGGGCTACAGATGGCGAGCACGGCTCTTGCGCTGACAGAGATGTTTACTGGGATCTGTTGTAGGGCCTCTTTTGTAAACTGTCTCGTTGATTAAGCATCGTTCATCTTGGCCAAGACCGTTGGATGAAGTGATTGCTGAAGAACCTGAAAGAGCGTGTCGTTCATCGGTGTCACGGAAGCAAGATACCTGAGTGGGAGAGAGAGAGCTTGCGCTGTTGAGGTACACAAATGCCGTGGAATGGTGCACAGGCGACTCGAAGCAAAAAAGCACCTCATTCCGCGTGCTTCCCCGCGAGATCGTCAAATCGCCCAGGCATGGCACCCGAGTATGGGGAGAAGAAAAGTGGTGGCCCAGCTTGCGTACGTCTGCACATAAGCACATAACATGGGGAGTGGAGGCTTGGCTGCGGTAGCTGTTCGTACGGGATACAAGTATAAGTGGTGCCTTAGGTAAGTGAGCTTGGGTGAGGTAGCTCGGAAAGGTAAGGCAGCTGTGTGGATTGGGCGAGATGGGAATGAAATGCATCCAGTGTTTTGGAGGAAAAGTGCACCTGGGTGAGTGGTAGACAGTCGAGGAAGGTGAAAGAGGTCAGGAAGGTGCAGTGCAAGTCTCTCGTAAGTACCTTCTCAGTGCTTCCGCAGATGAAATGTCGTGAGTGTCTCCCGCATCGATCAACGATGGACCACAGCCAGGAAGTCAATTCGTCGCTTCCGACTGGGGACCCCCCTCGTCCAATCCCCGCTCCCCTGTCCACCTTGGGCCATGGGTGCCAGGATGCCTCTCTCTTCCCAAGTCCCGACCGGTAAAGTCGAGCGGTCCACGGACAGTCTAGGCCCTGACTATGCCATTCCCAGCTTTTGGCATTCGCAACATTTTCGCCCATTCACCCATTTTCGCCCATGGGCATGCATGACGGAGCACACCAGGCCCCAGGGCACCTCAGGCTCAAGCAATGGAGCAAGCAACACGGGGCAACACGCGCACCCGGGGGAACAATGCCTGGCTGGATGCTTCTCTTCTTCTTTTCTTCTGCCCCCCCTTCGCCCCCATTGCCCCCATTGCCCCCATTGCTCCGGGGGGCTGCCTCTCATCGCCGATTCACGCTGACATGCGCACTGGAACAACAACACACTCACATCACTCTCAAACAACGGAGGGACACGAGGGATATTCATCGGATCCCATCCATCCAACCATTCTGCCCAGCATACGGGTACTGCCAGCTTGTCAATCGCCACTTTCTACGAATACCACCTACCGATATCCGTATACGGAGGACAACGTGGTAACTACGAATACTCCATACGGATACAGCACTGAGGACAGAACATTTCTGGATGCAGCCAAGGCAATTCCCTTTCCTTCCCCAGCCGTGCCAGCCTACAGTGCGCACCTCATCCGGGCATCCTCAGCCATCTCATTCCGGCGGGCAATCGAGGTTGAGCTGCGCCAACAAAAGGTACGGATACAGCTGGATACAGTGTAGAGCAGCTACATGAGGTATTCACTCCCTCCACATCCTTTCCATTCTTCTGTATGGACTCACGGAGTACGCGTCCGTTCCAATGCCAAGCTCTTCTCCTCCAAATCACACGTACGCTGAAGAAATACTTGTACCCTCTGCTCCTGATCTCTAATCTCGCTGCCCCCTCCCCTCTACCCCTGCACATTACCCTTCCCATCCCCGTCCAAGTTCCAACGTTCCTCATTCCCTGGCAAATCTGGCTCCCTTGACCATCGCAACACGAGCTAGCTTTCCCACCTCCAGTGCTGCCCTAGGAATCGCCGCTGACCCCCCCCGCCAGATGCTAGAAATGTCCCGGAGATGAGGCTACGCTGTGGGATAAGCTGCTTCTGCAACGCCTCGGATGAAAGCGGCTCTCGTGGCTTTAACGAGCTGACGGAAACCCCTCTAACCCTAAATCATCGAACTCGTCCGCCAGCTTGCTTCTGCTCTTCTTTGAACCCGCGTCAGCTCATCTCCCTTTGGGTCAGTGATTTCATAAAGCCCGGGCCGCTGGCTGCCTGCTGCTGGTAGCTGCCGCAGTGCCGCCCATTGTGGAAATCGCGGCCATCGTGAAGACACGTCCACATCGACATCGCCGTAACCGCCACAGCGGCACTGTCTTGCGGACGAGTAACAGACAGGCCCTCACCGTCTGTCTCACGACCATATTATCCACCCATAGAGTCCAGACTGCCCTACCCGTCGGCTGACCCTACCACGCCGCACCAGTGTTATGCTTCGCTACAAGGACATGGTCTGAAAGCAGCAGCAGAACAGCGAGATCTCACATCTCAATCCCAGCCCGCCACCTACCACCCACCACGCGCTGTCCCGTTGTTTACTCCACCTCTGCGCCCAGCCAGCGAAAGCACAGCTGGGTTGTTCCCGGTCTGCCCGCCGGACGCTACGCTCTCACCGAACGCATTCAACCAGTCTCGCCGAGCCACGGAGTTGCTCTCTTGATTCGCCGTCTCCGCACCTCGGTCCCTTCTCTCGGCTTTGTTTATCCATCCGCCCCATCCGCGATTCACGGTGTTGAAACAGAGACGATCACGAGCTCCATCTGCAGCATACGCACGAATCGAATGCAGGGAAGGTTTGTTTGCAATATTGTTATTTATTTTTGTTTGAAAAATTGACAGTGAAAGAAAAGTAGTGTATCGTCAAGTCATTACAAAAGTCATAATGCCTCCTGTCGTCGCCGCCGGCCTGTCCAGGCCAATATCCGGCATGTTTTTCCGCCATATCCTTCCGACCAACCAAGTTCCGTCCGTACAAGAGGATACACAGTGCCGTGTTTGTGTTCCCGACTTACATAACAGATATACAGAATCGTGTGTCTGGGGCATACATGATCATGATCTCGTAAACATTAGCGGCACCAGCGCCGACTGGCTCGACATGGACCGGTCGTCTGGTAGCACGCTCACAAAGCTCCTTCCAAAGAGCCCTTCTCTCAACCGCATCTGCAGTCCGCAGCTGTCCTTGTTCGCTACTGGTGCTGGCGAACCCTTGCGGTGGTTGAACTCCCTCGAGAGCTTCATCAGCACCGCCGCCTTAGCCTTGCGGAGCGCGCTGACCCGCATCGCCGCGTCCTCGGCCAGCAGGCGGTGCGCTTCCTCTTGTTCAATGTTGCGCTGCACCGAAGAGATGCCATCGTTGGGGTCTGAGAGCCGACTGGCGTTCGGGTCGTACACAGCCGGCTGAAGCAGAACCGGGTGCGGGGACGTGTCCTGAATCGGCGCCGTGATAATGGGCACCGGTGTCGAAGGGCGGAAGACGTCATCCTCTTCTGGGACATGTGGTTGCTCCCTGTGGTGTTTGTGTTTGCGGCTTCTGTGGTGCCGCGATGGGCTCTCCTTCGAGCTGCTACTCTCCTTGCCGGTGTTCTTGTCGCCGTCGTCCTTACGGTGCTTTCTGCGCCGGTGGACACGCTTCTTCTTTAATACTGTGCTGAAGGAGGTGCTGGCCTCCTTTGCGGCCGCGAGGTCTGAAGCCAGATCCTCGTCGAGACCGTCATATGGATCGAATAGTTCTTCGTCAACGTATAATTCGCTGCCGAGGTCAAAGTCGAGTAGTTCTCGAGTGGCAGCGGCCGCCGCGGCGGACGGCGATGGTAGGTCGTCATCGTGATATGGCTCCGGGTCCGAGTGCAGGCTACCGGCCTCGGAGTTGCTCCGCGAGTGCTGGGACCAGATGTCGCTGCCGCTGCCGTGGCCATGGCCGGATGACGATGATGATGATGGGTGGTTCTTCTCCATGAGCGGCGCGAGGGCCTCGTCCCAGTCGCCGCCATTGATGAGCACAACATTGTCAAAGTCGAACTCCTTTACTGTCTTTTGGTGCGCGTCGACCAGGTCGGAGAGCTGGGCGGCCGTCATGGTGGCGTTGCGGACCTGCATGTACCGCAGGCGGGGGAAGTGCATCGGCTTCCGGGCCGGCGCCGGCGGCAAGGGCGACATGGGCGACGTCACCTCCGCGAAAAGCTTCTTGCT